AACAGGCAGACTGACTGAAGTACACTGCTGAGGGGAGCAGCGGGTGAGACAAGAGAGGTGTGCTGTGCCATGTGGGTAGCTCCCTGACCGGCCAGGGATCCAACTTGTGCTGCAGTGGCTGCAGATAGCCTCACAGTGCTGTGCTAACCCTTGTGCCACCAGGGAGGCCCTTTTTCTTTATATTTTAACACATGGAATTCCAAGAAATGTACTGTTTAGTTTGGCATAGTTTTGAACTACACACATTGGGGCTTTGCTTTTCATCAATTATTTTTTATTCAACATTTTGTTTGAGTCATCTGTCTTGATGCATCTATTTCATTTATTGTCATGAATTATATATAGCAAAATTTACACAAGTCATTCTCTTGATAGGCATTTGAGTTTTCAACCCTTCCCCAACCCCATACTGCTATTATGAATACTTTTGTACCCTTCTCCTTGGTACTTTTGAAAGCTTCCATAGGGTCTTAGTTATGTACAGGTGTGAGAGTTCAAAATATTTAACAACTGGCAATACATACATCTTTTTTTTTTTTTTTTTTTTTTTTTTTAAAGATTTATTTATTTATTTATTCATACAAACACTGGGTACAGTCAGAAGCGCGGGAGGGTGAGAGAATTCACCAGAGCCAGAGCGGGGAGCAGAGCAGGCAGAAGGACCGAAGTACACTGCTGAGGGGAGCAGCGGGCGGCAGGAGAGGTCTGCGCACCATGTGGGACCCTCCTCCGGTGGCCAGGGAGCAGCTGGGGATCGAACAGGCGCCGCGGAGGCTGCGGGCCGCTTCGCAACCCAGCGCTCAACCGCTGCGCCACCGGGGAGGCCCAATACATACATCTTTGCTTGGTCTCCTTCCCCACTCCCATTTTGAAGTAAATCCTTATGTGTAAGTGGCTTATTTTGGAAAATGATTCCAAGGAACAGGAATTGGGACTAGGAAATATAAAGTATAAAGAAGGAAAGTCATTCCAAGGGTAGGTTACTGATGTGTTACTTCTGAAAGGTCACGAGATTTGACAGTGCTGAGACCTCCCAAGAAGCTGTGAGGAGCACCCTTCCTGACCGTCCAGTTAAGGAATCAAAGTGAAATGGCATTGATAGACTGGCTCCCATCACCATTGTTTAAAAGTTATACCAAAAAATAAAAAAATAAAAGTTTCAGCACAGGGTGACAACTCTCTTAGCACTTCAGGTTTACCCGTCAGTGGAACTGACAAAATGGGTTCAAATGAGTATTCTTTTGCTTTTTAAAGATTGATTTATTTATGCGTTCAAGAACTGGGATACAGGCTGGAGGTGTGTGGGGTGAGAGGATTCACCAGAGACAGAGTGGGGAAGCAGAACAGGCAGATTGACTGAAATACACTGCTGAGGGGAGCAGTAGGCAAGACAGGAGAGGTCTGCTATGCCAAGTGGGATAGTCCCTGGCCGGCTGGAGATTGAACTCGTGCTGCAGTGGCTGTGGATAGCATGATAGCACTGTCTTTAACCCCTGCGCCACCAGGGAGGCCCCAAATGAGTATTCTAAATTGGGAGGCAGAGAATCCTAGCTCAATCCTAATTGGACATATGCAAGGCAAGAGGCTGTCCAGTTATAGCCATGCAGCTAATTGTTGCAAAAACAGTAATAAAAAGGTGGGCCAAGAGGATGTAAAGTGGGATGAAAGGTGATCAATATAGATAAATAATTGAGTAATAAATGATAAGTTAGTCCTTTGAGTAGAATTTCAACAAATAAATGTTAAGAAATAATTGGAATAGAAAGTTGCCATTATTAGGCAGATAATGGGAACTGGTATAGGAATAATTATTGCAGGAAAGCACCATTCATAGATGCAAAAACTAGTGAGTGAAAGGGATGGAACCAGGATATTTTCATGGTGTAGAAGTATTTCTGCACAGATTCACATTAAATACAAAGGGGATAATATTGTTATGACGGAACAACCTGGCAGAAATCACTTTAAGCAAATAATTAAGATTAACATCATTAGTAATAAGACAGTGATGTGCCTTCCTGACAGGACATAAGAAAGCCACTCATCACATCTGCATTTTCCTAACAAAAACTCAGAACCTTAATCTAATCACAAGAAAATCTGAGGCCAATCCACAATCAATGGACCATTCCATGAAATAACTGCCAATGTTCTTAAAAAAAAAAAAAAGGCTGGGCCTCCCTGGTGGCGCAAGGGGTTAAGATGCAACCTATTAAGCCTCTGCAGCACAAGTTCAATCCCTGGCCAGTGAGCAACCCACATGGCACAGCAGACCTCTCCCGACTTGCCCACTGCTCCCCTCAGCAGTATATAATTCAGTCAATCTGCCTGTTCTGTTCCCCACTCTGTCTCTGGTGAATCCTCTCACCTCGCCTCCAGCACCTCTGGCCTGTACCCCAGCTCTTGTATGCATAAATAAAAATAAATCTTAAAAAAAAAAAAAAAGGCCGAGAAAGAAACAGTGTCACATTGGAGGAGACTGAGACATGAAAATGAAGTGCAATATGGGATCCTGGATTGAATCCTAGACCAGAGAAAGGGCATTACTTGGAAAGTTAACAAAATTAAAATAAGGTCTGTAGATTAGCTAATATTATTGTAGCAGTGTGAATCCTGGTTCCAATCATAATATTACAATTGTTAGATGTTAATTGCATTAAGTTGGAGAAATTGGGTAAAGGGAAACTCCTGTATACTATTTCAACAATTTTTCTTTAAGTCTAAAATTATTTCAAAATTATAAATTAAAAAATTATAGTGGGGGATCTTATAAAAAATACAGATTATTATTAAGTAGATCTGGAATAAGGAGTTTTTCTGAGAGACATCTAGATATTGAAGCCACTGATCCCAATTGTACATTTGAGTGATAAGACTTTTTTTCTTCCTGTTCTACTAATATGAAACTGACATACAATAAAATATACATACTTAAAGTGAATACTTTCATGAATTTTGACATGCACACACACACACACACACATACACATATCTATGAAACCATCACCACAATTAAGATAATGAATGTAATGTTGGGAGACAATTTTATGTGGCTCTCATTTCTGCTGGTCTTGTAAAGAGAGGCACTAAGCCATCTGTTGTAAAACAGACTCTCTCTCTCCACAATAGTGGCAGTTTTGTTTACTATCTAACATAACAATTTCCTCTGGAGCAAGCACTGGATGGGCTTACTTGAAGTCTATTACAAAAGATTCAGGTTTCCTAAAATCACAAACCCACTTCACATATTGCATCAACTGCTCCACATAGGAGTCGAGAAGCAAGGTGAACCAATGCAGTGAGATTACGATGTTTGCTGTACCATGGGTAAAAGACCTCTATCTCTGACCCAGGAGTCTCGTATCTTCTACCATTCGCTAAGAAAATGTAGGAGACTAATTTGTCATTTTCCAAGTAGACTAAAATTTCAGACTGCTCAATTCTTGAGTTTTTGGTGATGAAGCTGGAATGCTGACAGACAGGGCTTTCTGGGAGAGAAAGGAGAAGGGCCCTGGCTGGCTGGATTAGGCAACATAAGAATTCCCTGGGATATGGTAGTGAAAGTTCTTGTCCTGTTGGTGGGGGAAGGAGAAGGGGAATTTAACAAATCCAGTGTATTTGCCTTATAATATGTACCTCCTAATGGGTGTCCCCCCTGCCAACAGCTATCATCCCAATGTATTTATTCCTAGAATTTTTTTACATAAGCAAGATTCTTTAAAAATACTGTTATAATTCCCCATCTCCTTTAATGGCCCATATTAAAAAAAAAAAAAAACTGGAAACAATAAATGCTGGAGAAGATGTGGAGATAAAGGAAACCTCTTACATTGCTGGTGGGCCCAGACACTATGGAAAGCTGTGTGGAGGTTCTGTGTGTGTGTGTGTTCCGTGGCTCTACCGTTATGATCTGACAATTCTACTCCTATGAATCTACTCAAAGGACACAAAAACACTAATTTGAAAGGAAACCTGTACTCCTATGTCTATTGCAGCACTATTTACAATAGCCAAATATGGAAACAACCCAAATGCCCCAACATAGATGAATGGATGAAAAAATGTGTATATTTATAGTGTGGAATATTAGCAATCAAAAAAGACAAACTCATAACATTTGCTGCAACATGAATGGCGCTGGAGGGGATTATGCTAGCTGAAATTAGTCAGAAGGAAAGACAAACAAGGGCTTCCCTGGTGGCCCAAGGGGTTAAGCACCACACTATGAAGCAATCCGCAGCCTCTGCAGCATGAGTTCAATCCCTGGCCAGCCAGGGAGAAACCCACATGGCAAGGCAGATCTTTCCTGTCTCACCCGCTGCTCCCCTCAGCAGTCTGCCTGTTCAGTTCCCCACTCTATCTCTGGTGGATCCTCTCACCCCCCACATCTCTGGCCTGTACCCCAGCTCTTGTATGCATAAATAAATAAATCTTTGGGGAAAAAGACAAACAAAAGGTCAAGAACAAATTAAAGCTAGCAAGCTGACCATAGATCTAAGGCATACAGCAAGGGAGGAAGAAAGCTGGGGGTCGGGAATCAAAACAGGCGAGGGAAGAGCACAAGAGAATATGGTGAGGGTTCATGGGTGGTAAGGTGGTGAGATAAATATGGAGACTACGACAGTGTAAGAGAAAAATATGCAGAAAAAAAAAATACTGTTATAGGGCTTCCCAGGTGGCTCAAGGGGTTAAGTCGCAGCACTATGAAGCTATCCAAAGCCACTGCAGCATGAGTTCGATCCCTGGCCAGGGAGGTGCCCCATATGGGGATGCAGACCTCTCCTGTCTTGCCCGCTGCTCCCCTCAGCAGTGTATTTCATAGATCCGCCTGTGCTGTTCCCCACTCTCTCTGGTGAATCCTCTCACCCCCTGCACCTTTGGCTTGTACCCCAGCTCTTGTATACATAAATAAATAAATCTTTAAAAAAATACTGTTATAGTCAGATAAAATTCAGAAGTCAGCTCCATGTATCTCCATAGTGCTTCCATGACTTGTCCACTTCATTAAACTAATATTACTTCGAACTAAATGAAATCAAAACCCAACCCTTTCAATGTTTCTAATAATTGAATGTTTATCATGCATCAAATATCCGACTACAGAATAATACCATGGGTCCACAGAGAGTAATATAAGGCTCCACTATGGAATCAAAAGTGACTGAATCCTCCACCTGATGGATGTTGCAAAATATATGTGCAAACCCAAAGCAAGGAACAGAGAAACACTAAGTAAAAATGGTTTTAATACACAGTATGTAAAGATCAGTCATTCACTGTTTCATTGTCATTTCCCACTGTAGTTTCAGATGATAATAATATTCAGAAGGGACTTTTAACAGCTGCTAAGCTAATTTCATTATATTAGTATTTTTATCTTTCCTCCAGTTATTTTTAAAATCTTAACTAAATTTTTAAAAATACAGTATATTTTCACAATTTTTATTATCTTTTCCACCACCAAAAATTAACAGCCGTCTTCATTCTCACATCTGTAGTTAATATCTGCTGGGTTTTCTGTGACCTTGATGTGCAGAAACCAAAGTAGAAATAGTAATAAATAAGAATTTCCAGGTGCAGTTTAAAAACAAATCAAAAATTAAAATAGACAAAATCAGCAAGGGAAAAAGTCACATATGCATAAAAAATATTTGTATTGCTATGCTCCCAAGATTTTATCTATAATCTTTAACAATGATTTATGAAGTTCTCAATGACTATTTAATGAAACGATGAAGTTTGTAAAAATATTAGAAATAAGATTATGAATTTACTGATGTGTATGAGTTGGAATTTATATTTACTGTCCTACAAAATCGGAATATTTTGAATTTTCACAAAAGCACTGTGAAAGTTATACAAATCAAGTTATTTTAAACAAAAAGATTAAAACCATTATGATAGCTATATAAAAAAGTGTTTTTCATATTCTACTTAACATTTTAAGTAGAGGTATCTCTGAAAAGTCTTTGCTACTACACAGTATTAGTACCATGCTTTACAGTGAGAACAGAAGAAATATGAGAATTCTTCTGCTCAGGGCATTATAATATCATGTTCAAATGCAATATACATTTTTTCTAGAAAGTAGTAATGACTTTCTTAAGTCACTGGGCTGATTTTTTTAGTTTTTTAAAAAGATATTCATTTAAAAATATGGCTCATTTAGCAAATAACCCAGTTAGCAAATGGGCAAAAGATTTTAACAGATATTTCATGAAGAGGGTAAAAGGACATCAAAAGAGCAAAAAAGCACATCAAAAGATGTTCAACATCATTATTAATTAGGAAATACAAATTAAACCACGAGAAACCCTGCATTATTATCTAAACAAAAAAATTGTAATAATGCTAAATGCTGGTGAGGATGTGGAGAAACTAGATTATTCAGATATTGCTGGTGGAAATGTAAAATGGTGCAATTATTCTGGAAAAAAGTTTGGCAGTTTCTTGTAAAGGTATGGCATTTAAATTGGAATCCTTACATCTATATAATAGAGATATTTGTATAGATAGTCATTTAATTTTAGTAAGCCAAATATAGTAAAGGGGAAAAGACAGTGGAAATAGAATAACAAAGCATCTCAGGAATATCTGATTTTGCAGTTTCCTGTCTCTATCATTCCCACTCCCAAGCTTTGAAAACAGTATGTTAAAAAAACAGAATGAGAAATTACCTACATAAAGAGATCTGACAGAACACCTCTACTTAACAAAAAAACATTTTCAAAACTTAATGGAGTTAATGATACTAAATATTTGCCATTATGTTTCCATCAAATAAACAATTTAAGACGACAACATTCATTACAATGGAATTTGGAGCCAGGCCATTTGACCCTAGTTCTATCATACCTGTCTCTGAAATGGACATAGCTAAGAGGAACAACAAAATTCCTGTAACAGTCACTTCTTATGTTATTATTTAACAGCCAGCTCTAAACAAGACTTTAAGTGATAAAGGTTGGCCAAGAGGGAAGTAAGTTCATTATTGTTGCATATCCAAAAGGAACCTAGTCCAATGTAGGAAAGGGCAAATAATAGAACAGGTTGGGGGGTGGGGGGTCAATTGCCATGAGACAATTTTACAGCTAGCCTGAAGCTACTCATAACTTCTCTAACTTGTTTCAAGAAAGTTTGAAAATGTGGAACTGTCTCTGGGCCTCTTTGTGGGTCTCTGGTTTAGTATCTAGAAGGTAATCATTAGCACAAATAAACTCCCATCAAGAGATAATCACTCCAAATATCTCAGAGCGATAAATAGGCTGGACAAACATCAAAAAACTATCTGGACAAGTAAAATAACCCAAAGAACACAATTCTTAAATTGCCAATGAAATAGAACACTCTCGTAATAGTAAACTCTGTCAATTAGGCACTTAGTATAAGATATTAATGTAAACATCTCAAAAATTAAAAGATAAACAAGAGGAGAGAGAAGGCAGGCAAGATTTACATTTACTACCAGTATTTTGTAAGCAATGGGACATTAAACTTTAGCCTGAAGTTTTATAAAGAAATGTTATTTAAGAAGATAGTGTTTTCTTGTTCCCTATGAATCAGCAGTAATGTTTAGCTTCATTAATTATTTTTTCAACATGTGGAGAGGGCTCACATTTTGGCAAAATAGGGGAAAATTTAGGCATTGCCTTTAAACCCCCAAAAGGAAAGACTTGGAAATAAATAAGAATATCTGTGAGGGACATGTGAACCTTATATTTAGATTCGTACACATTTATGGCTTTAAATATAAAATGTTAATGTTTTTAAATCCTACATTTCTTGTTATTCTTTCTTTTTAGCTCTATATACTTAAAATATCCCTCTTAATTATAAAAAAATTAATTAAAAGAATACTTTTCACTTATTTTTGGAGCAAAACATAAACGGTACTTGATCTAGAACTATTAACTCAGCAAATAATAATTATGTTTATAAATACCATTGACATAGTATAAAAAAGGAAGGGGACCCATTAATTGTCAAAATATGGTTGTAAAAGGCTAATGTTCTTCTGAATTTTCTACAAAACAGAAGAAATAAAGTTCTGAGGTATTGCTGGCTTATAATCTTACCAAGATTTGTATTTAAAAAGTTTGTTTTTCCTTCAAATGAACCGTATTAGTCTTCAGGTTGCAAAGTTCTTTCAGATCTTCTCTCAGTCAGCATTATATTGGTTATCCCTGAGCTTTGTCTCATCTGCATGTCATATCAGTCAGATACGTATGGTTTCAGTGATTCCTTAGTGCTATGTCTTATACCAATTCATGGAACGTTTCACTGCTTTCACCCAGTTTTCCATACTAATTTCATATTCTTGCCATTTCTTTTGTGGCTTGAAAACAATTTCACTTTGCCTCAGTTTCTTTAGTTCCTCTTTGTCAGTCCAGAACCCTATAGGGAGAAAAATTATTATGAGATTTTAAGGCAAATAATGAATTAATGCATAAAGTTTACCCACAAACCTATATGAATTGATATAAAGGAAAACACTTATTTTAAAACATAATCCAAAATATTTTATTAGATTGATTATCCCTGGGAATAAGCACAATAGGCTTTTCAAATCTTTTAGGTTCTAACCATCAGGTTTAGTTTTATGTGGCAGGGTACCAATCAATCGTTATCATTAAATTTCATGACTTACTATTAGTAAGAAGAAAAAAAAAGCAAGAAATTGTATAATTTCTTTTTATATAACTAATAAACCAAAGATAAATTAAAACTGTCAGGTATCTTCATATAAAAGGCAACTCCTCGGGATATGCACAAATTTCAAAGTTAGGAATGTAATAGCTTTTATTCAAATTATTGTATTTCATATAAATTATTTAAATTCTAGTTGAAGATACTATTGCAGTTTTTGCATATATTATTTTTTACAAAGAGGACAATCTGATTTACAATAAAAAGGAGCAAGGAAGCACACTGATAACTATGATCATAAGTAATCTAGAAAGGTAGAGATGTCTTGTTAAGAAATATAATACATCTCACCTGAAGTACTAATAAGTCAACAAGTTTTCATAAAGAACATTTTCTCTTACCAATAAAGTTTACATACAAAATATTTTCTTCTAGAAATTTTTGTCCGGTTACAATCTATTTTCAAAGTTAGGATTATAGGCTACTTATATTTAAAGAAATGAATTTATAGGAGTTTTATTTTTTATTTATTTATTTTTTTGGAATTTTTTTTTTTTTAAAGAGGCATGTATTTTTATTTATTTGTTTGTTTGTTTATACAAGCACTGGGTACAGTCAGAAGTGCGGGAGGGTGAGAGAATTCACCAGAGCCAGAGCAGGGAGCAGAGCAGGCAGAAGGACCGAAGTACACTGCTGAGGGGAGCAGCGGGCGGCAGGAGAGGTCTGCGCGCCATGTGGGACCCTCCTCCAGTGGCCAGGGAGCAGCCGGGGATCGAACCGGCGCTGCAGAGGCCGCGGGCAGCTTCGCAACCCAGCGCTCAACCGCTGCTGCACCAGGGAGGCCCATAGGAGTTTTAAAAGACTAAAAATAACTTTTATTCACATATTAAAATTGAATAAATCTAGTCATAAAAAATAGGTTCTTAAAAATCCCTGTTTCAGAATTTTTAATATTTATACTTTAAAGCATACATACTTTTATTTTTTCTTTTTATTTATATATTTTTTACATCATTGTTCATTTTTAAACAATGTTTGCTTCCCCCCCACCCCAGGTGTGGTCCCCATAAAATTTCCTTAACCAGTGCACCCATGCACCATCATCACAGTCCCCTGTGCCTCTCCCTCCCTCCCTCTGATCCTTCTCCCTCCTCCTCCCCTGCAGGATATCTTTGGTTTATAATTATCTGCTTGTTTTTGTTTTGTTTTGTTGTATTTTGTATTGTTATTATTTTTTTCTCCCGATGTCTTATTTGGTTCCCTTACATTCTTCCTATAAGTGAAATCATCTGACGTTTTTCTTTTTCCTTCTGGCTTATTTTACTGAGCATAATTCCTTCTAGTTCCATCCGTGTTGCTACAAATGGCATGAGTTTATCTTTTTTGATTACTGAATAGTATTCCATTGTGTGTATATATGTACCACATCTTCTTGATTCAGTCATCTATTTTTGGGCATTTGGGTTGTTTCCAGGTTTTACCTATTATAAATAGTGCTGCAATAAACACAGGGGTACAGGTATTCTTTTGAATCAATGTTTTTGTGTCCTTTGGGTAGTTATGACTCAGTCATTCTACTTTTTAGATATTTACCCAATAGAAATGAAAAAATGTGTTCAGACAAAGATCAACAGGTGAACAAATAAATCATGGTATAGTTACGCAATGAAATACTAAAACGTAGAGATGGACAAAGGCATATGAAAAAATGGTCATCGTCACTTATCAGGGAAATGCAAATCAAAACTACGAGATACCACCTCACACCTATGAGAATTGCCAAAATCAAACTCCAGAAATGAGTTGGTAAGGATGTGGAAAAAGAGGGAACCCTGGTACACTGCTGGTGGGAATATAGACTGGCCCAGTCACTATGGAAAGTAGTATAGCAGTTTCTTAAAATATTAAAACAAATCTACCACACAATTCAGCAATTCCACTTCTGGGTATCTACCAGGAATATAAAAACATTCATTCGAAGAGAGCTATGCACCCCTATGTTCATTGTAGCACTATTTACAATAGTCAAGACATAGAAGAACCTAAGTGCCCATGAACAGATGAGTGAATTAAGATGTGGTATATATATATATATAGCTGCATGCGTGCGTGCGCGCACACACACACACACACACACACTTATATACACATATATACAATGCAATACTACTCAGCTATAAAAAAAGATGAACTCTTGCCTTTTGTGACAATATGGATGTAACGGTGGTATTTATGCTAAGCAAAATAAGCCAGAATCACAAACATCAGATGATTTTACTCAAATATGGAGCATAGAGAATGAAATCAAAGAGTCAGACAAAACTAAACCAAAAACCAACTCTACAGTATGACTTGTAGAATTAAGACTACCGGGCATCCTGGTGGCGCAAGGGGTTAAGACACAACCTATGAAGCTTACCACAGCCACTACAGCACAAGTTCGATCCCCAGCCTGGGAGGTGACCCACATGGCGCAGCAGACCTTTCCTGACTCACCCACTGCTCCCCTCAGCAGTGTACTTCAGTCAATCTGCCTGTTCTGTTCCCTGCTCTGTCTGTGGTAAATCCTCTCACTAACCCCTCCAAAAAAAAAAAAAAAAAAAAAAAAAAAAAACCACTCTGGCCTGTACCCCGGTTCTTGTATGTATAAATAAATAAATCTTAAAAAAAAAAGAATTAAGACTACACAGGAGTGTGGGAGATCAGTGGGGAGAGGAAGCACATAGACTCTGGTAGGCTGTGGGTGCCTGGGTGATGGGTGTGATATGGTAGCATAAAAGAGGTAGGATGCTACATTTCTGAATCAAATACAGTGTTGTAAACCAATGTCACCTTGATAAATGAAAATTAAAAATCTTCAAACTGCTTTTAGGAGTTAGTTAAGTATCTTTGTATAGAAAAAGTCTGAATTAAATACAGATATAATGATATAATAGAGCTGGTGTTACAAGTAAGAATAATTTATGTTTGTTAGTGTTTTAAATGTTCAAGAAAACAAGATATATTTAGTCTTACAGTGTGAAAAAGTATAGAAAGAATATGATTAACCTTATAAATAACATTAAAATGGTTATGAGAATTTAAGTTTAATTTATTCAACTTATAGGAGTTTTTTAAGAATTGGGATTTTCCTGAGTACAGTTCTATTGTTTGCTAAGTCAGGCATGTGAAAGCATTAAGAAGATCAACTATATTCAATTTGTAAGAGTTGAAACATACAAAGGAACTTAAATAAATCTGCAAGTGGGAATGATTAAAGGAAAGTTATTTTCTTCAAATTGAATTAATCAGTCAATTAATAAACAATTGAAATAAATTGTTTTAATTTTACTCAGTAGGAACAAGTTTAAATTGAAATAACCAAGGTTTCATGCTGTTTGGATTTTGCAACTTTGATATGCTAAATTTTATCCTAAATCGTTACTTGTAAAATATCCTGTTTTACACGAACATTCCTCCTTTCCATATACATTGTTATTATTCTGTACACATAATTCTCACAAATTCAAATACTCTCTGTGTCTCAAGGCATCATCCAGTTTCCTAGGGAGCTCCCTAATTGGCCTCCCCAGTCTCATTCTTTACCCCTCCCAACTAATTCTTTCATTTAATTGCCTAAGTGATCTGTTCAAATGCAGATCTTTCCAAGTGCTTCCCTGCTTCAAATTCTTTGGGTGGCTCTCCAATGCCTTCAAGATCAAGTCTGAAGTCCTCTTTATGAGCAGTCCAACACAACTGGACTTCGAAGTACCTCTCCAGCCCACTTGTTCTCACCACATTAGCATTTGTCTCACCATGTAAGCACCTATTATAGCAACATTTACAAGATCTGCTTTCTCTATGGGACCACTGACTGCTAACGTCTTCAAAACTGAGCTATATGTTGCCTCCTCTAAAATGCCTACACCGCTTCCACAACACTATGTCTGCTAGGTGTATCACAGTAATTGGTTGCTTCTCTGACTGCTCCAGCACAGACTCCAACGGCAGGGACTGTCTCTAAAATTCTTTATTCTGAGCAGTGACTATCATGTAGCAATGTACTCAACAGATACTGTTCCATAAATAAGAGTACAATGGTCTCTAATGCCAAAGATAAAGCCTATATACTCAAAAAGTTTACCCACTGACTGTTCTTTATTAAACACAAAAACAGTTGTCAATTACCTGTCTTGTCTCATATTACTTCTGACTGAAGGAGTGAAGTGTGGATGGGAAAAGTGTGATCAGACCCACCACAGAGATCACAGGAGTATTGTGAGCTATACATACATATAGCTCACATACATATAGCTATATATACATATAGTGTTTATTAGACAGTAAGGTTCTACAGATTCTATTATTTTGCAACTTGGGAGGAAAAATGCTAAGAAATACTGTGCAAAAAAGTTCTAGTTTTTATAAAATCCACTCATACCAACAGCAAGGCCAGCTAGAGAAGCTGCACCTAGGCACGACATGTCAACATGGACTGGTCTGTCTATATTCTCATTAATCAGGTCCGAAGTCATCTGCATGATAAAACTGTTCTTACAAACTCCTCCATCTGCCCTGTGGGGATATAAGATGAGATAAATTAATGCAATAAAATCATAAAAACATTACTGACCCCTTTTAAATGGCCCACATATTTTTTTTAGATTCTTGTTTTTATTTTTAACTTTTTGTTTTTATTGATCTATTTTTTTAACTGACATAACATTGGTTTACAACGCTGTATGTGATTCAGAGGTATAGGATCACACCTCTTTAGATATATTCTACTATACCACACCCACCAGCATGATACCCATAGTCTTCCACCAGAGGGTTTAATGTTTTAACTCCAAGGTTTTCTCACTTAGCACTGATGTGAAGGTGGAGGACCTCACTAGGTAATCTCTAAAACTTTCTTTTTTTTCTGCTAAGCACTTTCCCATCTGCCCAGTTTGTCGTGGGACCAGTTCAAAGTAGGGCAAATGAAATAGGCCAACATAGAAATTCATTTGGATATTCCAGCAAAGAAAATTTGATGCTTCCACACCAAAATGATAGCCGTGTACCCCCAAAAAAGAAATTTTAAAGATTTCAATAATATACATATGGCTACTAAGATCCTCCCAAATTTCACATTGAATTAAATTTTCCATAAATCCAAATAAGTTTTCCTTTCCTTCTCAAATTCCTATGGCCAAGAATTTTGTCGCAAAGAAGCTAGGCATAACTTCTTTTTGAAATCCTAAATAAGCATAATGATGAAAGTACTAATAGCAACTACCACTTATTTCTAATTAAATCTATTAGAAACAGGGTTTACATACCGGATTTTTGTTACTGGAATATGGATCTCTTTCTGCATCACCTCATATAACTGTTTGTTTCTAGTTTAAAAAACAAAATAACAATGTAGAGGAAATTTGTATCTTAGAATTCTCTATTTTTTCTAATCTAGAAAATAAACACAGTGGTTTTCTGCACATGACATAAAATAGTCAAAAGAAAATATTAAGGACCTCCCTGGTGGTCTAGGGATTACGGCTCAGCATTATCACCACTACAGCCTGAGTTAAATGCCTGGCTAGGGAGCTAACTCACATGGCCCATCAGACCGTTCCTATCTGGCCCACTGCTCCCATTAGCAGTGTAAATCCACCTGTTCTGCTCTCCACTCTGTTTCTCTGGTGAATCCTCTCACCCCCTGCACCTCTGGCCTACACCCCAGTTCTTCTACACAAAAAAACCCCAAATAAATAAAATAATAAAACTAGCATATCTTTTTAAAAAATAGTTTAAAACTGTATAACGCTAACTATAGGTCAATATAAACAAGGTCATTAAGTAAACAAGGGGTTCAAAGCTTTACACTTTTCCCTTTGATACAAGAGAGCATAAATTTTTATTTTAGGAAATAAATTTAATCTACTACCATTCCTACAGATAAAATTTAGAGCACAAATTCAACAGATAGCTATTAAGATGATATACTATATTTATTATCTAACAGACTCCATCAAATAAAAAAATAATCATTTTATAATCACAGAAAATCTTTTTTTTTTTTTTAAATAGACTTTCCTCCTACAATGGCAGTGGCATCCTATCCCAGTAATATAGTATTTCTTTTTTTTTTTTTAAGATTTATTTATTTATTTATATAAGCACTGGGTACAGTCAGAAGTGTGGGAGGGTGAGAGGACTCACCAGAGCCAGAGCGGGGGAGCAGAACAGACGGACTGACAAAATACACTGCTGAGGGGGAGCAGCGGGCGGCAGGAAAGGTCTGCACACGATGTGGGACCCTCGCCCAGTGGCTGGGGATTGAACCGGCGCTGCAGAGGCTGCGGGCAGCTTTGCAGCCCAGTGCTCAACCACTGCGCCACCGGGGAGGCCCTATAATCACAGAAAATCTTGAACATTACAAGTATTCCACATTCATGACAGTGACATTCTTAATAAGCTACTCTTGCCCAGAAAAAGAAGACTGTTATGGAACATGAGGAATAACTTCAATGATTTAATCTTTTGATATAACAAACATTATTAGTTAGAATTTTTCATGAATAAGGATCAAAAACCTTTGTAGGTCTAAAGTTTTAATCTGGCATACTTAAGAAACTGGATATTAAAAAAAATTCAATTTTCAAATATCAAATCTAAATGGTACTGATCTTAAATATAAAAAGGTAAATTATCAAGAAGAACAGATTATATCATATATAGTATAAGTTGACTAAAGGTATAAATGTCAGTTAAAATTAAGAAACTTCTAGTTCATAGGAATTAACAGAAGGAAATGGTAATCCAGTTTGAGGAAGAGGGCAGGTTTTAGTACCTGAAAGCTATTGATTCCAATATTGCTCGTACAAGATGGTATTTATTGGTTGAAGGCTTCAAACCCATAAAAGAGGCACATGCACAGGGGTCATTCAATGGAGCCTAAAGTAAGAGATAGTAAGAATATGTTACCATTGTTCTATATTATATGCACTGGCTTGAAGACATATACAATAAAAAGATAGCCATGTTAGAAAAAAAGAATGTTTAGTTATTTTTTTTAAAGATTTTTCTTTATTTATGCATACAAGAACTGAGGTATAGGCCAGAGGTGCAGGGGGTAAGAGGATTCACTAGAGACAGTGGGGAGCAGAACAGGCAGATCTACTGAAATACACTGCTGAGGGGAGCAGCAGGTGAGACAGGAGAGGTCTGATGCACCATTTGGATCACCTCCCTGGCCGGGGATTGAACTCATGCTGCAGTGGCTGTGGATAGCTTGATAGTGTTGAGACTTTAACCCCCGCGCCACGAGGGAGGCCCCATGTTTCATTTTAAATAAAATGGTAGTTCCAAAATTATGTTAAATATTAGGATAAATTTTTAAAAGGGACCTTAGCAAGGTTGTGTTACAGATATTGGACTTTGAACTTCTGGTTGAGCTCATACCAAGAAATGGAACTGAAGAAGAGATTATTAAATATCCAGATTTACAAATGAGGAAAATGAAAGGTAGCCCTAGTATTTCCCCCTTTTTTCCTAACTAAAAGGACTTTACACTAAAATTGATTACTATGTAGAGTGTTTTTTTTGAGGACACAAGTGAGACGATTAAAAAAATGAAATGGGAAATATGTGTTTCAGTGTCATAATTCACACTCAGTATGTTAGACATTCAAAATAAATATTTCTATTTCTTAGTTGAATGGTTTTGTTGTCTAATATCAGATATGACCCAAGAGAAAAACCTTCAAAAGAGCCAAAATCTTGAGTTGGAATTATGTATTAATGCAATGCAGTTTTTATACATCTTTTCATTCTCAGAAATGCAAGACAATTCTGGCACATGAAGATGAAAACCCTGCCAAAGCTAGTAGCCTGGCCAAGAAATAGAACAGTTTCAACACACCAGCATAAGATCACAACAAAGGCACACTAGTGCTATTGGGAAATGCGGGTCTCTAGAAAAAGTATCTTCAAGCTTCAGGGTCTTGAAACATCTGTTTATCTGGAAAACCTACCACCTGTTCTCCTATTTAATTCTACTCTGCCCTCCAAATCTTGGCTCAGATTTTTTGGAAAACTTCTGACCCCACAGATAGATCAGGTTCCCGCTCATGTTTTCATGGCCCACCATAACTTCCCCTTATTTCATTTGGTTATAACACATATATTTGTACAGTTGTTTATTCAAACGCTACCTTCCCTGCTACACTATGTGTCGCAGGTGGAAACTTTTCTGATGTGTCTCCAGGGCCTGGAACTACATCTGACCCCACAGGGATCAATACCCATTTGTTGAGGCAAAGAACAAACAATACTTTTCCTAATTACCTAACTGAAGAGATTCTACATTACCTTTTATCTTTAAAAGGTATGCAGCTACCGTTAACACTTCCTTTCTCCCATGTTCACTTAGTTCCTTATCAAACTTACACTGTTTCTCCCTTCACCTGTCCACAGCTCAGACAACCTAATCACTCTCAAAACTAGAGACGGCTATCTAAATTCCTGCTATGAGTAAGATCATCTGATATTTTTCTTTCTCTTTCTGGCTTATTTTGCTGAGCATGATCCGATCTCACTCATAGCAGGAATTTAGAAAACCTAAATAAGGGATCAAGAAAAAGACTAATTATAAGAAAGTAAAAATCAAAATCAACAAGCAACTATAAACCACAGACACACTACGGCGGTGGGAGGGAGAAAGGGATTAGGGTCAAAATAAGGGGGGTGGGAATTGTATGGGGACTATAACTAATATGAAAATGCACACATTTTGCAAAAATGAAAAATTATGTAAAAAAATGTATATAAAAAAAAAAACAACAAAAACTAGAGATGGCATTCATAGTACTTGCTGGCCACATCCTCCACTAAGGAAACTGCTTGAATTCACAGGCCCTATTGTCTAAAGCAGTCAAGTTCCACGCCCTGGTCCCACTGCTTCTCAAAACATAGGAAGAGACTAACGCAAAGTCTATTCAAGCTTGAAAAGATAAGGTGATCCAAGTTGATTCCTTCTCCTGCAAAATATGAACACTGAGAAAAAGACAAACAGGAATGAATAAGGGGGTAAAAGTAGAAGGATACACAAGGTAGGAGAAGATTTATGTGTATTTACAAGTTGTGAAGGAGCAGAAAGCACAAGGAAAATAATGACAAGCAAAGTTATGAGGAATCAAAAATATGGAGCAATGTCAATAATAAAATAAAAAAAGCAGACCTATGGAGAAAAGCAGGAATCAGAACATTTGAGAAAAGGTAGGAGAACTACAGGGACTACACCAGAGAGGAGAAATCAAATGCTATCCAAAAATTAATTAATTAATTAATTAATTTTAAAAAAGAAAAGCAGTTAGCTACCAACTCCTTTTTATTTCCAGTTCTCAGGATATGTGAACATCTGGCTATCTCAGGGATGACCTACACAAACCTGTTCCTTGCAAATTTAAGACCGCTAACTGGAACATGACTCTTATCTTCTAAAGATTGACACTTGGCTCACCATCTTGTCCATCCTACCACTGCCATCACCACAGTTACTGTAACATGAAGTAGGCAACCATTGACCCTCACCTTCAATAACTATCATAAATATTCTACTTTTGTGTGCTGGATTCAAACCACAATCCCAACAGAGCAAAGTCACAAAGGCTGCACCAATTAATACCATTCCCAGTGTATGGCCCCCGAGCTCCATCTCACCCTTCCTGCCATTCCCTGAAGTGGCTGTCCCAGTCATTCCCACTCTCCTCAAAGTTCTTTTATTGCCACTTTCTCAGCAGACTGCTCTGAGAAACTGAAATTATTAGGAGCCTTTAATATTCTGCCTCCATCCTCTATGGCTGTAACAGTATTCTAAAATCAAAGGTAATGTCACAGATACTTAACCCTTTCTTCCATCTATTCCCCAATCCCTCATTTTTTTCTAGTTTTTGATACTGGCACCTTGTAGGTGATCTCCCTCCCCATCATTTTCCAAACAACATGGTATCAACACACTACTGTTGTTTGCATTAACTTTCAGTTTCCAGTTAAGAGTTTCACTTTACATTGGGAATATTTGGCTTGCAGAGGCTCTCCACTCCTCCCAAACCCAACATATTATCAAGTTGTAGTCATGACAGGAAGGGATACTTTGTGATCAACATGAAATTAGAAACCACTGGTGTGATTGTTTTGTCTAATGTATTGGACTTTAGCATGTGGTTTACATATAGTTTATATTATTTTCATAGGAACATGATTTGATGGAGACATTAAAGACAGAATTGCCATGATAAAGTCACTACTAAGTTTTGCAGCACACTTTTCAAAAAGGGAAAAATCCATAGTAACCTAAGTAAAGCCTACTTTGCTGACGATGACTATTCCTCTAACCTTCCTTCAAAAACCTCAAATATTCTGCTCTCTGTCCTATTATGGATATTAATTAGTTGCCTCACATTATCCTGAAGAGGAAGAGGATGAAGTTCTAAGCAGAAGTCATTTGAATATGCTCTGCTTTCTCATGGAATTCACTCTATCAAAGCAGTTTCTCAGTCCAAGAATACTTAATAGCTTAGTTCCACTAAGTAGCAAATTTTTAGTTAAGGGAGAAGTAGAGAGATAATTTTGGGTATGGGTATGAGAAGAGATAAGTTTGTAATTGTCAGTAGCTTTTTAAAAACATAATACCTGCAATCCACTGAAAGATGGAACAAAATAAACTCCTTCAGAATCTTCCAAACTTTTAGCCATTTTTTCAGTCTCAGCAGCATCTGTGAAAAGATCTGCAAAAGCAAAACACATAAACATACCCTAAAAAAATGAAGGGTGTGGGGAGGAACAAACAGAATTATTTTATAAGGCTAATATTTCCCTGCATGCACTTTTTTATGAACATGAAAGGTTGCTCACTTGAAAGGGCCAACACAAAGGCCGATCCATTCTAGTACTAATTGGGTACTGCATAGGTTTCTAAGCTCATGAAAGGAACAGAGGAGACAGAACCTCTTATCTCTGTATGTAGCAGGCCTTTTTCCTTACAGATGAAAAGTCTTTGGGTGTATGCAGACTTTACTCTGTCTCTCCCAGTGAATGCAACTAAGAATTCTTGATGGAATGCACAAGAAAACTATCTGCTGACTGAGAAGAATAAGCTAACAGACTACCAGAAAAACTAAGTACCACCAAACTGGTAGTGAGTTTCCTATTTTTAACTTTTTTTGACATCTCTTGACCTAAACTCAAGAACAGCCTGAAACTTGGATCAGTACATGAGGTGCAAATATAAAGAAAAAGCTTCTAAATAATGCCCTTATTTCTGGTCTGAGGAGCTGGGGTAACTACAGGAGGGAGCACATGGAAATAACAATGCTATTTTTTTGTTTATAAACTTTTTCATTATACCTGAGTAAGAGGCAAAAAAAACCCACATTTAAATTGAGGAGACAGAGGAATTAGAACAGTTTCAGGGATCTGTGGAACAATAAGAAAAGATCTAACGTTTCTGTAATCAGAGCCCTAGATGAGGAGGACAGAGAATATACTGCAGAAAAAACAATTTGGGAAAAGAAATGACTGTAAATGTACCACAGTGGATGAAAGATATAAATTCTAAAAATTTAAAAAGCAGCAAAACTTGTACAGGAAAAAACAAGAAGAAATTCATGCCCAGATGCATCATAATAAAGCTAAAAGAAAGCTAAAAATTAAAGGCAACAAAAAAGTCTTAAAACCAATCAGACTGCATATTAGGGAACAGACACTTTAAGTGACTATGAAGTTTCTTATTAAAACTGAAGTCTAGGGCCTCCCCGGTGGCGCAGCGGTTGAGCGCTGGGTTGCGAAGCTGCGCGCGGCCTCTGCGGCGCCGGTTCGATCCCCGGCTGCTCCCCGGCCACCAGAGGAGGGTCCCACATGGCGCGCAGACCTCTCCTGCCGCCCGCTGCTCCCCTCAGCAGTGTACTTCGGTCCTTCTGCCTGCTCTGCTCCCCGCTCTGGCTCTGGTGAATTCTCTCGCCCTCCCGCACTTCTGACTGTACCCAGTGCATGTATAAACAAAACAAACAAACAAACCAGCAAACAAATAAATAAAGCATGCCTCTATAAAAAAAAAAAAAAAAAAAAAAAAAAACAAAACTGAAGTCTAAAGGCAATGGAAGGGCCTCCCCTGGTGACGCAGGTGGTTGAGTGCAGCGCTGTGAAGCAGTCCGCAGCCTCTGTAGCTCCGGTTTGAGCCCGGTCACCGGCGAGGGTCCCACCTGGCCCGCAGACCTCTCCTGCCATGACCACTGCTCCCCTCAGCAGTGTACTTCGTCAGTCTGCCTGTTCTGTTTCCCGCTCTGGCTCTGGTGAATTCTCTCACCCTCCCGTGCTTCTGACTGTACCCAGTGCTTGTATAAATAAATAAATAAATAAATCTTTAAAAAAAAAAAAAAAAAGAAAACCCAGTTAAAAATATAGAAAGAAGATATATAGATGGGAAGAAAGTATGTGAAAAGATGTTTGATACCATTTGTCATTAGGAAAATGTAAATTAAATATACAATGAGGTAACACTATAGGAAAGTTTAAACTTAAAAAAAAAAATGATAATACCAAGCACTACAGAAACATTGTCATACACTTTACTGTTGAGAATGTAAAATGGTATGGCCACTCTAGAAAAACTGGGCAGATTTCTAGATTTTTTCCCAAAGATAAATACATACTTACTTGTGTGTGTTTTTTATAACACACTTAACATTGTGTTTCTCTGAGTCAATAATTCTACTCTAAGGAATTTACTCTATAAGAATTAAATCTTACAGGGTCACACAAAAACCTAGTCTTTTTTTTTTTCTCATGCATTTTCTTTTTTTTTTTTTTAAAGATTTATTTATTTGTTTGTTTGTTTGTTTATACATACAAGCACTGGGTACAGTCAGAAGCGCGGGAGGGTGAGAGAATTCACCAGAGCGGGAAGCAGAGCAGGCAGAAGGACCGAAGTACACTGCTGAGGGGAGTAGCGGGCGGCAGGAGAGGTCTGCACGCCATGTGGGACCCTCCTCCGGTGGCCGGGGAGCAGCCGGGGATCAAACCGGCACTGCAGAGGCTGCGGGCAGCTTCGCAACCCAGCGCTCAACCACTGCGCTACTGGGGAGGCCCCAAAAACCTAGTCTTAATGCTTTATTAAACATTATGAATGGTCGCAATGCTTTATTCACAATCACCAAAAACTGGAGTCAACAGCCCACATGTCCTTCAGTGGGGGAAAGGATGAACAAACTATGATACATATATACATATGAGGTAAAATAAACTGCTGAGCAATAAAATGGAATGAACTATTGATAAATACAAAAACATGTATAAATTTCAAAGGCATTATGCTCAGAAAAAGAGTATCTCCATTAGTTACATAATTTCATTTCTATGGATTTAGAATCTATATGTTTAATGGAGTGCAATATCCACTGACATGGTTCCATTTATATGAGAAATATTTATTTCATTACTTTTTAACATTTATTTAATTTTGCATAAAAGAACTAGAGTGTAGGGTGTGAGATGATTCCCAGACAGAGTGGGACACAGAACATGTGGATTTACTGAAATACACTGCTAAGGGGAGCAGCGGGCAAGACGAGAGAGGTCTGCTGTGCCAAGTGGGTTAGCTCCCTGGCAGAGGATCGAACTCAGGATGTAGTACTGGTAACGCTGAGACTTAACCCCTAGGCCACCAGGGAGGTCCTATATGAAAAACATTTACAAGATATTATAAATGGAATATTTTACGATGTTTCATATTGTGGAAAAAGTCAAAAGTTTGTTAATACATAAGGCTTCTACTTCAACTCATCCAATCAGAACATTTGCTTATAAAAGATGTTATAAGGATAAGGTCTATGGGAAAAGAATGTTATACATTTCTAGGGTGAATATAAAATGGCACAATTCCTATGGAGAAGACTTTGGCAATATCAAACAAAACTACAACACATTAACCTATGATACAGCAATCCCACTTGTGGGAATTTATTCTTTTTTTTTTTTTTTTGGTTTTTTTTTTTAATAGAGGCATGTTTTTATTTATTTATTTATTTGTTTTGTTGTTTTTTATACATGCACTGGGTACAGTCAGAAGCGTGGGAGGGTGAGCGAATTCACCAGAGCCAGAGCGGGGAGCAGAGCAGGCAGAAGGACCGAAGTACACTGCTGAGGGGAGCAGCGGGCGGCAGGAGAGCTCTGCACTCCATGTGGGACCCTCCTCCGGTGGCAGGGGAGAAGCCGGGGATGGAACCGGCGCCGCGGAGGCCGCGGGCAGCTTCACAACCCAGCGCTCAACCGCTGCGCCACCGGGGAGGCCAGGGAATTTATTCTTAAAACAACTATGCAACAATATTGCAGCATTATTTGTATTTGCACTTGTAAAACACTGGAAAGCTACTTAAATGCCCAATATAGGATATTACATGGCTAAACTACATACACATAATGAAGTAGTATGCAGCTGTGAGAACGGAAGAGTTCTACAAAAGAAAGAATGGAAAATAAAAAAGCATACCTATATCTTCATTTTTGCAAAAAGAAATAGGAATGATAAAACAAAAACTAATGAAGTTATTATTTATAAAAGGTAGGGAGACAGGATGAAAGGGATAGGAAGGGAGTCACCTTCTCTGATCATACCACCTTTTATGGTTTTGACTATGGGCATCATTTGTCAAGAGCCGTCCGGAGCCTGCGCCGTGTTGCCTATGCGTGCCATGAGTAAAGTTTCGCTTTACCGTTTTGCTTTCAGAGAAACACAGGTTTTTCCTGTAAATCACATGAGACTGGGAGGCACAGGGGGAGGAGCTACCAGGATATAAGAGGAGAACGAGGGAGAGAGGAGGGAGAAGAAAAGAGATTTAAGAGAACCACGAGAGAGGAGAGTGTTGCGAGAGGAGCAGAGAGAAGGCCAGGGAAGTAAGAAAGACATGGAAAACAAAGACATGGAAAAGTAAGAGAAGGAAAAGGAAAAATAAAGAAGCATGCGCTTGTGTCAAGTTCTCTCAAGCCCCTCATTTCATCCTCAGCCCTTCTCTTTTCGTGCCTATGAATCCCGCAGGTTGGGACAATCATTAAAATTTGGGACTCATTAAAAATTATAAAATAGTATTTTTCAAAAGGATGTAGGGGGGGATCAGAAACTAAATGATAACATAAAAGAATGAAATCAATTCTAATTTCAAATTAATAAAATCATTGAAGGGAGATGAACTAATTCAAGTAACTTTTTCCCAAAGATTTATTTATCTATGTATACAAGAACTAAGGTGTAGGCCAGAGGCGGGGAGAGGAGGTGAGAGGATTCACCAGAGACAGAGAGTGGAACAAAACAGGCAGAGCTACTGAAATACACTGCTGAGGGGAGCAATGGGCAAGACAGGAGAGGTCTGCTGTGCCATGTGGGTAGCTCCCTGACTTGCAGGGGATAGAACTTGTGTTGCAGTGGCTGGTGATAGCTTGATAGCACTGTGTCTTTAACCTCTGCGCCACCAGGGAGGCCCCCAATCCAAGTAACTTCTGAATAGCATGCTTTGACTAAATATTGTTGACATAGAGAAAAATGCCTCCCAAACAATCTTGGTCAAATGTTATTTGCTGTAGTGACAAGGGTTTAGTAAATTTGATACATTTTTGTATCTATTTTAAGATTGAGCAAATACGTATAGTATATAATATTAATGTTGTTGGGAACAAGGGTTCTCAATAGGAAAAAATGTAGATAAAAATATAGATGGGGAAAGACAAGCAAGAATTC